CAAAACCCCAAAAGTTCAAATAATTTAAATTTCATTTCATAACCATTTCAATTTCGTTACAGAAATAATGTCATAAAAAACCAACACTCACTAGATAAATTATAAAGAGAGGATAAATTGTATGCAGTATTTAAATATTGACTGCAATTAGAAGAGAGACTTGTATATTCCATAAAAAAACAATGGGACGGAGACAAATAAACAACTCGGTACGTCGTGTTTCCGACCTAGGGTAACCTGTGGTTCAGTAACCTTTTAACCCAGTTTTAATTTGCACACGTGCACCATATAGTCCAGGAGCCCGATGTGCAAACAACTTATTCTTAAATATTTGACCTCTTGAATCCAAAGAAACTTGGTCGCAAAGCCTGAAAGTGGTCAGTTTAATTGTTATCAACAAATTAAATGTTTAAATGGCTGTAAAAAGTTTATTTTTATAGCTAGTACAATTTATTCGCTAATAGTTACGTTTTCTCATAACAAATATGTATTTTTTTGGAAATTAAAAAAAATTAACTTTAACCAAAGTTATTGCAAATTTAGTGCAAATTTCTTACATTTTCCGTCTCCGTGCGCACTAATTTTACCATATCTGGTTCTAAGTTCCATTTATTTATTAATTTATTTAATAATTAATGGCATCTTAGAAAGTTGTGAAATTTCAACGAAAATGCCGGTTTTAATTGTTTATAAGGTTTTTTTTATTATTCAACTTCGACGAAAAGCCAAAAAAGTTACCGGATATTGTTCTTTGCATTCTAACAATCAAGCAAGGCATGAAATCATTGTTAGGATGCGAGGAACAATAACCGGTAACTTTTTTGGCTTTTCATAAAAATTGAATAACAAAAAAAGTTTTATAAACCAATAAAGCCAACATTTTCGTTGAAATTCCACAACTTTCTAAGCTGCCATTAATTTTTAAATAAATTAATTAATCAATGGAACTTACCTATCTTGTAAAATAAAGTTTAAGTTTTAAAATGAGATGTGCGTCTCAATCCGTCCAATTGAACCAGAGATATGGTAAAATTGGTGCGCGCAGAGACGGAAAATGTAATATATTTGCACTAAATTTGCAATAACTTTGGTTAAAGTTAATCTTTTTTTAATTTTCAAAAAAATATATGTTTGTTGTGAGAAAACGTAACAATTAACGGATAAAAAATTGTACTAGCTATAAAAATAAACTTTTTACAGCCATTTAAACATTCAATTTGTTAATAACAATTAAACTGACCACTTTCAGGCTTTGCCACCAAGTTTTTTGGTTTCAAGAAGTCAAAATACTTAGGAATAAGTTGTTTGCAGCCGTGGCATTCTGTTTGGCTACGGAACCCTATCTGGCCCCTAGACTAATACGAGTGTAGTAGCAAAAAGTTGTCGGTCTTTTATCAAAGGAAAATCGTGTCAACAAATTGAATTTAAAATCTAAAATACCGGGTGTGTTATCGTAGTAGCTGTAGTCGCCCAGGTGCATCGAGTGTACGAAGTGGTCGGTTATAGGTCAAATACTAACCTGGCGAGCTTGGACGTAAAACAGAGAGCGCCTCCAAAAACAAGTAAACAACAGTGGCGCAACAGAGGTAAAATGTAGTACATATGTGGAAATTAAAAAACAAATTGGATTTATAATAAATTACATTTAAAATAAATAGTTTATGAGAATAAAGGAATTTTTGTAGGAACAAGGGTGCCAGACGTGAACTGATCCAATTATTCAATTTCTAAAACCCGTAAAAGCGTAAACGTAAAAAGCGAATTGCACTGAATCACTTGACAGGCAATGATTTACTACTTTGTATAGAATATGATCCTACTTAGAACTCGGATAAGACGTAAATAAACATCTTTATCTGGACACACGATAAATATATATTTTACCTTAAATATTGTGATAACAATTGTTATTTATTTATGCTAAAACAACAAATGTATAGGGATGACTGTTTCGAATGTACGGTTATTACAAGTAATAACATTAACGTTTTCACGTTTTATAATTTATTATGTTAAATAATACACAGTTTATTATTCAATATGCAGTTGCGTATAACCAAAGTTTACATAATAAATGTAAACTTTAGTGTAAATCTAAACTTTGGTGTAACCTAGGTAGGCACTTATTGTTTTTGAGAAAGCAATAATTATGTTTTTTTACCTGTTTAAAATGCCAGCACGAGTAAAATAGCAATCATCCGTCTAGAGCATTTTGTTAATAAAGTGCTGCTGCACTTAGGAACCAATTGCAAAATTCAAGACGATTGGGGAAATCAGCTGCTTCTAAAGCTTGAATTTTTTGAAAATGTGTTATGTTAACTCCTTTGCGGGAAAAATACGGGAGATATGGAGGGTGGTAGATTTGAATAAACGCTTTAAATTGTTAGGTAATGGTTTTGTAACCGTGTGTAGTGTATTTTGTATATTCGGGTATTTAGTGTGCCGATTTTTTTTTATTTGATAAAATTCAGCGTGCCTACAAACCTCTGCTTTATTTATTTTCTTTTAACGAAAGTTGACTTCGAGAAGTAAGGCTTGTTAAAATATTTTGCACTAAGTTAATACAATTATTAAAATTAGTTATAATAAAATCCAGCATGATCCTTTATTTACTTACATTTTATTGGTTTCGTACATATGTATCCGTATACTAAAGCGGATTAATTAAATGTGAACCGCAGATTATGATGTGAACTTGGCAACGCTGTTCGCCTCAGCTGACGATTTGTTCGTGACATTACATTACAAAATTTTCCGAGCATCCGGGCATCTGGAAGTCCGCCCTCTTAGCGGGAGTTATGGGTTGATTTCCTTCATTTTTAAAAGTCGAGTAAAATTTTTTTTTACGACTTTCTCTCTTTATTAAGCCTTCCGAATACGTGGTTAAAATTAATGACATTATGACTGAATCACCCTGTATATTGGTGGAAATAGTCGGACAGGACGACTTAAAAGGTAATCTGTGACAGACAATGAAAACATATAATAGTGGTGATAGTCGGACAGGACGACTTAAAAGGTAACCTGTGACAGTCAATGAAACATATAATATGTTGGTGGTGATAGTCGGACAGGACGACTTAAAAGGTAACCTGTGACAATCAACGAAAACAGAATATATTGGTGGTTACAGTCGGACAGGATGACTTAAAAGGTAACCCGTGACAGTTAACGAAAACAGAATATATTGGGGGTGATAGTCGGGCAGGACGACTATAAAGGGAGCCTGTGTTCAGAGTTTAAGAAAGCAAATGAATAAAGTATAAATAGACAATGCGTTATTTGTTGCTTGTATGTCGATTGGATGCTTTGGCCAGGCGTCTGCCCCGATGTACCGGTGATAAAGCGTATTGCGGGCGTAGTATACAGATTGTGTAACAAAGGTATAGATCTATCAAATGACGAATGGCAAAACACAGCACATATTTTCACAATCATGCTGACTAAATGATTATCTTGAACTTGACATCAGATCCTCAACAATAAATATGTTCGAACAGTACACTGCTGCTAAGTTCCGTTTCTAGGTCAGGGCCAAGGAATTCTCGAGGACGGGAATATACAGGATGACCGAAATGTTATGAGAAGCGGGAAAGACAGACCGAGCGACGGTGGCTGGAACGCCAAGGCCAGTGTGCGTGTCCCGAAACGCTGAATAGACTGTTTGTTCCTAATTTTATAAACATTTTTATATGAACAAGGTAGTTAGATATAGGAATAGAAAAGAAGGATAAGTTAGAATTAGAGAGTTGAATAACGAACAATAATTGAGAATGTACATTTTACTTTGATTAAAGCAAATTGTTGGCAATAATTATTTTTGTTTATAACACTACATATAATTTAAACTTACAATAAGTGAGATTATACTTAAAGTTCCCAAATACAAATTACAAAGTTCCATGTAAATGGTATACAATGTTAAATTAAAAAATTCTGTTTTAGTATTAAACACATTAAAATTATTGTTGAATCATTATTGCAAGCAATTTAGTACTTGCTCTCAAATACTACTCCTGTTACTGAACAACGATCATACTATTTACAAATTTAATCTAATCTCATAACTTATCCAGAACACACCTATTACAATGATTAGGATAACATTGGTTCCAAGTAGTAGGTATTTATTTCTTCGTTAAATAAAAGATATTAATTGTACCAATACAATGAAATTTATTAAAAATCGCGCAAAAACGCGTGAAATAATAGGAAGGCAAATTTATCTCCTCGGGGCCTCGAGGCGACACACGCGTGACTCGTCGCGTCACTATGCCAATGCTATTCAATGTATTTAAATCACATAACGACAAGTTTTGTCTCTAGACTCTATCTGACACTGAAGTATCGTCGCGCCACTATGTTTGTACCCTAAGGGTACAAAATCTGCCTTCCTATTATTTCACGCGTCTTTACGCGATTTTTAATAAATTTCATTGTATTGATACAATTAATATATTTTATTTAAAAAAGATATACTTGGAACCAACGAATTCTAACCACTAGAAGGAGCTTTGTGTATTCTTATACATGTGTTTTAACTGTAGCAAACATCTAAACTATAAAAAAGGCAAAATATTAAAATTTACAAAATACCAATACACATTTGAAAGGATTACTCATTTTATAAATAATTTTTATATATTGGTGATTTAATGAGACGATAAAAATTGAAGTAAAATTAATAAACTGTTTTTACTATACTCAAATTGTTTTGACTGATTAATTAAATGCTTTTATCCAACACTTGTATATAATGATACTATAATTTCTTTGGTTTTAAAGGAATAATGTGGCCTATAAGTCACTAGTGAGTTACAAGTCATAAGTCACTAGTAAGTTATGACTTATAAAACCCACTAGTGACTTATAGAAATCATAAAAAGACAAATGTTTGGTTTATTTTGCTAGTTTTTATTAGAAAACCAATTTGAAACAGTAATAAGTCAACAAATAACCTAATATGCTACAAACTTAACAATCTACCTACTTATTAATATTAACATTAACATTTATGGTAAAGCTGTAATTTGATATTTGAAGGAGCACCGTCAAAAGTAACAGAAACTATTTTGATACCTAATTCACTTAAAAATTCTAAACATTTTTTTTAACAAATTAGCTTTTTCTCCACCACTTAAACCGTTTGTCAAGAAGTACCCAACAGGTATTTTCTAATGACTATTTATAGCTGCAACCATAAAAACAAGCTTTTGGAATATTATCTCCAAATACTTCAGTGCCGACATCAACATATCCAGTAAATCGTTTCCTATTCCACTCAACACTTTGCACTGTAGACGTTTCGTCAAATACCAAATTGTCTAAAATTTCACTGTTTGTTTCTCTTACTTTCATTTTAATAGCAGCCAATGCTTCATTTGTAAATCCAGGTGTTTCATCTATAGATCTGTACCACTTAGAAATTGTTTTTGTATGTAGCAAAGCCATGTTAAAACTTCTTCTTGCATAATTATAAGCATCTGTTGAATAAAAGCTTAACGTTAAGGCAAACGACCTAAGCTTAGGTGAATACTTTTTAGGAGATCATTTTCTTGATCTTTGACAGATTTCACCTAATATTCCAGGTGCTGATTCCTAAAATTACATATTGTTTACAGACACAGAAAGAATAAGTATTTTTCAACTTACATGAATGATACATTGAGCAGTTTCTGTTAAGTCATATTTCTTTTTCAAAAATTTCAGAAGGGAATTAAGGCTACAAATTCTGGCTTTTAGACGACTCTTTGCCTGCTGCAGATTTCGGATCTTTATTGTTTGCATTTTTATTTTTTTCTTACAAATACTCCAATTTTTTCTTGCTCTTTTTGGAGTATCCATGTCAGAAGCATGGCATTCTCCAAAATGTCGTGGATAAGGCCTTTTCCTAAAAATGATGAATTATATTGTAATGAACCGGTATTAATTTCTAGTTTTATGCAAGGCCGTGGGCCAGTTATTTATTTAAGTAGTTTAATTGGGTGAGAGCAATTAACTGCGAGTCGAGTCGAACCGTCCGTTTGCCCCACTTTGTCGAGGACCGCGCGCATAATCCCACCACGACTCCTGCCTAGTCAAGGGGGGGGGGGATTGAGGCAATAAAACTACCATTCTGTCAACGCTTACGGTTTCTGAACACTAACTTGGGTTCGTATAACTACTTCAAGCCCCACGTTGCGTCGCTATGTCAACGCTTCGGTTTTATTTCACACCAGTTGTGGCTCGGAACGGGTTGTCTGAACTTTGGCTAGTGCTGTGACCTTAACAAAAACGCCGATACAATTTAGAGCGGGTCGTGGAGCTCGTAGGTGTTGGGGTCTATCTCATCCGAGATAGGTTCGAAGTAAAGAAAGTAATGCCCGAGCAATATCAAAATTTAGAAAAATTGAGGAAAGTGGGAGATAATTAAAAAGAATTTAAATTTAATAAAAACAAAATTGAAAAATTTATGTCAGGCGCCAGTAAATTTTAAAGTGAATCTACAAACTTTTGTTTCCTAACCGGATTCCTCTTAAATCTAGGTCAGGTATGTATAACTGTGGATCCTTTCTGATCCTGAAGGTAAGTTGGAAAAA